TCAACATCTGCCAGACATTGACCATAGAGTTGTGCTGGAGGAGCTGCAAATGCCTAGTGGAGGTTTCTCTCTTGGTCCTTCAGTGTGACTTTTGGTTAAGTTGACCATACAGTAGTGCTGGAGGACCTAGATATTCCTAGAGAGAACATATTAATAAAGCCCATGAATAATCAAATCCTCAAAAGTCAAAGCCATAAACGTGGAGGAACAAGTGTACAGGCATATTGAGAGCTTTATTCTAATGAAATGTAGCAATTCCATGCTCCAGCCACCAGAGGGAGGCATTTACCAACACTGGGCTGTTGCTTTCCAAACCTTCACTGCAATGATGGTCAATGCAGCAGCAGCAACAGTAGCATAAGCATATCCCATATATAATATATCTGGTTGCATATGCAAAAATTGCCAGGTCTGGCTCCTCTCCAAGATGGCCAACACAGAAATACCACTTCTTTGATTCTGATGCTGCTGCATGTCTACACATGGATGGGATGGGGGCTTACTGCCTCTCAGCCTTCATCACATAAATTTATCGCTTCTTCTAGCCTGTCATCTGGCATATCTCTGCCATAATATAATTGTAGAAGGAATATTTCTGCAGGTCATCAGTTGTCTAACCAATTCTTTTGCCTTTTTTAAATTTCTTTCCGTCTGCAGTTTCAGGAAATCATCTTTCTGTTCACCTGCTGGGTTATTTTTTATTTATTTATTTGGTGTATTTATGCCTCACTCTTCAGCACAAAAGCTCTCAGAGCAGCTTACAAATTGTTAAATTGACAGTTCCCTGCTCTCCGGCTTACTGCCTAAGTAAGACAGGACACACTCCTCATAAAGTTACTATAAAAGATGAGTAACCTTTAGATTTTGCTTTTTATGATAGATAATGGAGTGTGTGTGTGGGGGGGAGACTTCATCTTTGTTATAAATGGGAAAATGGACATAGGTTACTAGAAATTGAGCCAGAACGGAGTTCAGGAAGTCTTTTTTGTTTGTGTGTTTGTTTCTTTTAATATTGTATTGTTGTTATTTTAGTTATCTGTAGGTTACGTATATGTTATATATTTGATACGTGATGTGATGTGTTTTGTTAGAAGGTTGGATTGTCTAGATTTTAATATGTCAATAAAATATTTTTATTTATTTATTTCCAGGATTTATATCCCACCTTTCTCCCAGAATGGGATTCAAGTCGGGTTAAAATATTTTAAAAAGACAGAACTAAATAAAATGTTGATTACAAAGTTTAAAAAAATAATAATTAAATACTACCAACCTTAAAACATGGGTTTAAAACAGCATAGTTAAAAGCAGTAAAACAGCGCACTATATTATAAAATAAAATAAAATAAAATAAAATAAAATAAAATATTCAGGACACAGAAGGAAAAAGGAATGATAAGAGTGAGAAGAATGTCAAAAGAAAAGGGATCTTTGTTGCCCCCGAGTGGCCACCTTAGGACACTGCAGCCCTTGCTTCTGCTTCCGCTCTGACAGTGATGGCGAACCTTTTAGAGGCCGAGTGCCCAAACTGCAACCCAAAATGATTGCAAAGTGCCGCATCCCTCTGGCTTTCTAGTAACAAACTCCGGCAAACTCTGTGCAGGGGTGACAGCACACATGCCCACAGAGATGTTCGCCACCACTGCATTATGATGTTTTGTGCCTGAAGAAATCCTCAGGACAACAAATAAACCCAGGGGTCATTCACACTTACTTTTTGGAATGAAGAGATTCACATCTTCACACCAATTCAGAATTGATTCGGTGTTCCCACTACATTCACCGCGACCCAATCTCTCTGTGGCATTTTTAACCCCGTTGCCATTCACATTTGCCACCGTATCGATTTAAAATGTAGGCGCCTCCATTTCTCGGAGTGATGCAGCACGATCCAGATTGATTGGGTAGTGTGGTCACACTACTGAAGAGGTGGATCATTGCAACTCTTTAAAAAAGAACTGCTAAGCGTTCCAGTGCCAAATGTACTGGTTTAAGTAGTCTTTTCAGCTGCCCCCTTGGAAACTGCAGCGGATGTAGTTGGGATGAGTGTGAACCTCATGGAAATAAACCAGTTCCACACCAGTTTACTTCCGTAGTGTGAATGGGCCCCTCTGTGGCATCTTCTAGAGTCTTCCAGGTGCTCTCCATTGCTGCCACTGCAAAGTGCAACTTGTGTGCTGCGTGTGGCCTCTGAATGCTTCTCTGGAGAAAGTTCTTCTCATGGCACCCACCCAGAAACCTTCCAACTGTTTTAAAAATATTTTTACTATTGATTTAAGGCAATTCCCCCCAACAGGAAAAAATCAACTACAGTGGGCCCTCCACATTCACTGAAGTAAGGGGTGCAGGATCCCCTTGAAAGTGGGAAAAATGCAAATTGAAAAACACATTTATTTTACCTGAGAGAAATCCCCCTTTAGAAATCTCTAGGTCTTCCAGTACAACTTTATGGTCAACATCCGCCAGAAATTTAAATAGAATAGCAGTGGAAGAGCTAGAAATGCCTAGAGAGGGGAATTTCTGGGTCCTCCATCATGACTCTGCGGCCAACTTCTGGCAGAGTCACACTGGAGGACCTAGAGATTTCTAAAAAGAACGATCAAATCTGTGAATAATCAAATCCACAAATGTCAAAGCCACAAAATGTGGTGGGCTGACTCTAAATTTAAATCCACCAAGTTCAAAGCAGCATACACAGCTCTTTTCCCTCCTCACTTTTAATTTTCACAACAACTTTGTGAGGTAGGCCTGACAGAAAGAGAGAGATCTACCTAAGGTTACTTGGTGAGTTTCATGGTTCAGTGCAGGCTTGAACCTGGAATTCCCAAGCCTTCTTCCTACACTTTAAGGCAGTACAACATACTTTATTACATTTATTATGAAGACAATAAATGCACATAATTTTAGAAGCATGAGGGCATTCAAGATCAAAGTAAATCCTGTATCTTTGAGCCCACTTTTTTTGGGGGGGGGGTCTGGGATGCACAGAGGCATCTATCTATCACAGCAGTGCCCAATCTTTTAAAAATAATAGTACATAAAAGGTGTTGTATCCAGTAGGGAGAGTCAGGGTGGCATAGTGATTTGCTAGACCAGGGGTTGGCAACCTATGGCCTGTGGGCCGCATCCGGCCTGCTGACCTCAACCGCTGCATGCGTTGCTGCCGCCATTTTGTTTCCCAAAATGGCAGCTGCAACTCGTTTGTTTATGCGCAATACTCCTGTGCATGTGCGAATGAGCCGTGACTGCCATTTTGGAAAACAAAATGGTGGCCACGGCTCAGTGCATGCGCAAACAACCTCTATGCTAGACTAATCTGGGGAACCAGGGTTCAATTCCCCACTTGGCCATGAAACTCACTGGGTGACCTTGGACAAGTCACATGCTCTCAACCTCAGGGGAAGGCAACGGCAAACCTCCTCTGAACAAATCTGCCAGGAAAACCCCATGATAGATTCGCCATAGGGTCACTATGAGTTGGAAACAACTTTGAAGGCACACCACACACACAAACAAACCCTCCTGGCAATAAGAGATTCCCTAAAGAGAGTATTCTTGAGAGCCATGGCAATCGAAACTCTTGAGAAGTTGTCTTGGAAACCAAAGCAGTCTTGCAGCCTCTTAATGCAACTGTAATTTAACAAAACTGGGGGCTTTGTTTCCTCCTTTTTGGGTTTGTAGAGCGGGTGGACACACATCAGGCCACTTTCACCTCACGGTCCACCAGTTGGATCCAGGCTCAGGACAGTGGCTCAGGCTATCTAGAAAAACCGAGGGACACCCTGACCTCTACAAAACTGAACTTGCAGTCCATTCATACAAAAACTCAAGAGGAAGCTGATTGTGAAGAAATCATGAGCCATCTAAATAAAGGAATTGAGGTGAAAAGGCTAGGAGACATCACTTTTTATCTGGGAATACAAACAGAAAAAGAAAGGAAGGTGGAAGCTATCTCCTCAGTCAAAGTCATAAAGGCAAAATGAACATTTGCTTTTTTGCTTTTTTGATCTCATGGATTACTAAAGCTGTGACCTGTGGCAAAAGCTAAGACACTGTTTGCTTCTTTACCCAATCTACCTTCTGCAGCATTAAGGGCAGAACAACAAATATGAATTGCAGAAACAAAGGAAACTGTGTGCTAGATAGCAGCATTAGCAAAATGCCAACCTGCTTAGGAAGAAAAAGCTGTCCATCCAGCCATCCCAATTAGTGTCCTCTTGGAGATGATTGGTTTGTAGGCCAACATACTGGGAGCACTGGTACAGATGGACGTCCTAGTCCAACAACTGGAAGTTGACAGGTGTCGACCATTATGGAGAAATAGATGGAGAAATAATCTGAATTGCTAAAAAACTATGAGAGCATTACCATTGTCTGTGATAGGAGCAACAGTTCAATGGTTCCAGTTCCAAAACTTAGCATGGCCCATTAAACCAAGCAGGTAGCAAGATTTCTCTCTGCCTGAAAACTTGGCTGCCAGTTAAAAGTACATAATATTGGACTA